CTAAAGGTCATTCGGTTATTTTGTTTTGTTTTCTTTACAATTGATTTGTCAAATTAAAAATTATCATAATTAATTTGAAGAACTACTTAGGTAAATCCTACATAATTGTTGTTACAAATTTAGATTGAGAAAAAAATCTTAAAGTTATATATGAATTTTTCATAAGTTTACTAATTATTGTTAGTAAACTTATCCTATGCCTCATTTGAAGAGATTAGAACCTAGATAACTATTCGCTTACCTGAAATATACTCGGTATAAAATTTAAATGGGTTTAGGGTTCTGATTTGCCTAGGTATTAAATTTAATTAGGTTTAGTGTTTTTATTCGCCTAAGTACGCATCTCCTGGATAAGTGCGCACAATCCTTTGAGTATCAAGATGCGTACTTATTTGGGAGATGACTATAGAGCATAAGACAATATCAGTAGGGATGTTTTTTTATGAGATCAGATCATTGAAAGAATACAAGAATTTTCATGCTTCTTCTATTCACAACAATTAAACTCCAAAAAAAATGAGTTTTTATTGATTGCACGTGAGTGGACAATTTAATAGATTATGAAAAAAGAATATTCAAAATCAGGTTGGTGGCTAAAGATTTTCACACTAAAAAATGTGTAAACTGCAACAAAGTTTTTTCACTTGTAGCAAAATATATTACAATTCGTTTGGTATGTGCATTTGTTGCAATATTTAGTCTAATTATAGATGAGATGAACGTAGTTACAGTATTTTTTATGAATCTAAAAAAAAATTCTACATGAGACATCAAACTAACTTTGAGAAAAAAAGTCAAAAAAGAAATTGATTTAAGGATTTTTGGAATTATTATATGGATAAAGAAAATTAAAATGCAGTGCAATATGATGTTTGATGAGTTCATAAAATAAGTAGGATTTTTTTTAAATGTGTATGATCCATGTATATTTAAAAAAACGGGTATAATGAGATTTTTAATCTCATGTTCAAGATTGACATGCTTTATGTGGCCAAAATCATTTTGACATCAACAAATGCAAGAATCATTTGAAATTTTAAGTTGAAAGTTTTAGATAAATCTCAGAAAATATTAGGCATGTATTTTCATAGTAGTTTGATGAAGAAAAAACTATGATTAAATGAAAACAAGTATGTTAACGTGTACTTGACAGATTTAATATAACATACATTTAAGAAGTATGGATTTCCTTGGCAACACATTTCAAACTTTTTACATCTCAATGTGCAACCAATGATATTGAAGAGAAATATCATCCATGTCCTTTGACAAAGCTGTGAGTAATTTCATGTATTTGATAATGTGCAAATTTTTGATATTGCTTTAGTTTTGAACAAAATGAACTAATACATGTCAAATTCATGAAAGATTCAGTGACAAGAAATGAATTGAATTCTAAGATGTCTTAAAAATAGTGAGGATTATGATATATTGTTTGATAATTTATAAGACAATGTCAAATTCTTGCTATACTATGTTGATGTTAACTATGGATAGGATACAAAATGTACAACTGGATTTTTTTTTTATACTTTGTGATGAATGCATTAATTTGATATCCACTTTGCAAAAGTGCATAATTCAGTCCACAATGCAAGTTGAATATTTAGATGCATTTGTAGCAGTGAATAAATTATTTGGTTGAATAAGCTTATCATTGAAATGATATTAAAATAGGAGGTTGTCAATTTTTATTGAGATATTCAAATTTGTTACATCTCGTTGCAAATCAAGTATTGGACAACAGAATGAAACACATGAACAATAAGTTTCATTTTTTTGAATATGCAATGTCTGATAAAAAGATGACGCAAGTCAAGATTGGCAATAAATTCAATATAGTTGATGTGCTGACCAAAATTATTGTTCTAACAATTTGAAGACATATTGTTCTACTATGCACATCTTACATGAAAAGCATAAATAAAATTTACTAGCAACTTGTGCTAACCACATATATTCTTACTCTATCATGTTTTGACTAATGTAAAGATGTACTTCAGTTGGATTTTCTTCTAGAGGTTTTTGCAATTATGTCTATTTATATTTCATACTCTAATTGTAAATCAATTGATTGATGTGAACACATTCTGCACTTTGAGTAGTAATATATGAGTAATTTTATTCTAAATCTAAAAAAGTATTGAAATCAATCAAACAATTATTGTATCAAAAGTGAGTTTAAAAATGATGATGTATGTATCAATCCAAGACATATGATCTTGGTTAATTAAATGTAACCAGGGCAAAATTGGACAGGAAAATTTATTACATTCAAAAGAAACTGTAATGAGCTCTCTGTATAATTAATTACACGGCCTACATTAGCCATTTGCATAGTACTTAGATTTGTCAAGGGATAATCTTATAACTCAATAAACCTTCTCTATTTCTTTTTAACAACCCACAATAAATTTTTTGGCCTTTTTATCTTTAACATTGAACTTTAGTCTGTAGTATGTGTTTTTAATATCTTCTTTCTTATTCCCTCTTGCAGACATCTCATACAAAAAGCTCCCGTTGAAACTAGTGGCAGATTCAGAAAATAAAAAATGAAATTTATTTTTAATTATTCCTCTTCACCTGTCATCAATCCGTAATAGTCTAGATGGTTAGGATACCTGGCTTTCACCCAGGCGACCCGGGTTCGAGTCCCGGTTACGGAAAGTCACGGTTGTAAATTTTTGCTTAAATTCTGGATTGTGGGTTTTATTTGGACTGTAATGTAAACGATTCTGGAAAATATATGTAGGGACAGACAGGTATCTTCTGCGTACATGTCTTGCACATACTCTGTACATAGTATGATTCTGGAAAATATAGGTAGGGACAGACAGGTATCTTCTGCGTACATGTCTTGCACATACTCTGTACATAGTATGACCTAGCGTTATTCTCTACCTTCTTATTATGTAAACTATGAAGTGTCAGCTGGAGTATGTGCAATAATAAAGGTATCAATGACCAGCGGATCCGCATAATACTCGAGTATATCCTAGTAGTCAGAAATAAAAAACGCAACTTACCACCTGTGACAAATTTTGCAGGAAGGATCTACAAAAACGCTGGATGACATACATACTTCCAAATACCCTTGCCCATCATCATTGACAACGTTGTTGACGAGATGCTGACATTATAAACGCCGCTTACTACGGCTGGCAGGCAAGCGGTGACATTGGCGCTATTTCGCGCTCTAACCATTCATCTAACAGGGCGATTGATCGAAAAGTTTCACGATTCAAAATTTCCGTGGGCTCACAGAGGCTCAAACCTCCGGATTTCTCTGTACTGTAGCTGTGAGAACGGCGTGCTAGCCAACTACCCACCGCCCCTCTCTGACATCAGTATTTTAAGAAAATATAATTATTTCAAAATTTTCTTGCTAGCGCAATTGAGATTTACATTCTCCTTCTTGCTATCTCCAATCTAGCTTTCGCGTAGTTTGAGTGAACACTGAACATCTCAATTGCGAACAGCAATGTTGCTATAGTTCTTGTACCTAAGTACCTAGTAACAGCCCTTCAGTAGTTCTACAATTGGAACATTTGACAGCCTGTATCGCTCCGCATCGATCAAATGACTTGCATAGATATCCGGAATGCAGCAAGTTTTTCGGTCAAGTTCAGTACAGACTCCACAGTTCTAACATCAAAGGACTTCTTTTCTGGGAATAAATCTGCAATACGAAGACGACTGGTATCTACCCATCTTCATAGCTCTCACTGTAGTCTGTGGCTGAATGCAAATGCAACCAAAGTGCAGAGGGCCATCGGAAAAGGCAGATTGCAATTGTTCTTTACATAGTAACCGATGCTTATCAACACCGGAAACACTACCACGATGAAGTCCGCAGTCGCATAAGACTCATACTGGGAAGAGTGTATCTTAGGTAGAGTGAACCTCGAGAAGAAGACTTCTGGGCTGCGCATCCACAAATCTCGCGTCTGAGGGGTGAAAGCGATCCACGAACCTATTGAGTCTGGATGATTGCTCTATCAGTACAAACTACACTTCGCAAAGGCAAATACCATAAGGACGCCCATGGAGTGCAAACATGTGGTAGCGACGTTGTACGAGCAGGCCGACATGCAGAAAGTGGATAAAGAATGCCAGAAAGGTTTCTTTCTCGATTGGAGTGCGTGCGTACAGCACCACCGCATCCAGCGCGTACTTTCCTTAAAACAGAAGGCAAGTAGTTTTTGTCATCCGCATTCGCCGTGGATCTGGATAGAAACATAAATCTCAACAGTGGAAGCTATCATTTTTCCCGCACTACAATCTTCGCTGGTAACAAATTTCTGTCAACTAACGGGCAAGATGGACGTGGCGGACAAACCGGAAGCGCGCGTTTGAGATTTTGAATTGAAATGACATTAATCGACATTGATCTGCCAACCTTGCTGTGAAGAGACATTGAGCCTTTGATCATTTTCTAGTCAGCTTGAACATAGAGGATTGGATGCAACCATGTGGAAAATATACACAATTCGATATATATATCATTGGAAAGTATTATGTGTCACGATGTACGCTTACTGTTCCTTATCTAGAGTAATTTGATCAAGGCTTAGATTTTGCAGTGTACGATCAAAATGTAGTTGTGGAAACATTAGTATTCTAAACGAATGTTGTCACTTACATACTTTTCAGAAAATGTTCGAATATATGATTATAACAGTATAATTTGGTTAATGGTCGCTTCTCACAGATATTTCCAAGACGAAATTTGGAACATAAAATTGAAAATCTGGACTGTACCTGGGCCGGGTTTATGTTCGTTTGTGAGCTACATTTGTTCGTCAAGATGAGATGAAGAAGATTCTGTACCAGAATTAAATTGAGAATGCATTAGAGTTCAGAAGGGTGGCTCCAGCAAAGATCTCGGAAAACCACGTTTGGATTCTTCTGTACTGAAGATCTTGCATCGATGAACTTGTTAGAACACGAAGTGCCGGATGGGTACCAAAATACGCAACAGATGAAATCATCTCCAATTTGAAAAGCAAGGTCATTGTATCAGTGCTTTATTATAAAATTTCAAGGTCTCGAAGAGAATCAATTTAATCTATAGTAATACTGAATAGTCTCAACCCAGCTACAAGAATCTGAATTCTACTCGTCAGAATGTAAGACATTGACGACACTGCGTTCTAATGTGGCAAGAACTAGCGTACATCTAGTTGCAGACGTTAGATCCAGAGTTGCATCTACCAACGAAGACACCAGTCCCGTAGTTTCCGGCTTGATTGAGGTATGCAATCATGTTTATGGCACACATGTTGCTCAAGTCGTTTAGCTGGCTCTTGTAGGGTGCGCAGAATTCATTGTAAGCTTGACAGCACGTAGATTCCGGGTACGGGGCAGTGCACTTCGATGTCACGGAAGAGTAGTCCATATTCACAAAATCCACGGGGCCTGGAAATCAAACCAGTGAGACATTGAGGTCCGGATGCGAAGGGCAGACTACGTGAAGACAGATATATACGCTGAGTGGAAGTTACTGAGGACTATAGTTTCAGAAAACCACTGCTGTAAGTCTATGAGAGAACGTACGAGTAGTTTAACAAGCACAGAGGACTTTTGAAGACAAATCTCCTAGAGAGTGTGAGATAACGTTCCGAAACATTCAAGGATATTGACGAAAATCTAGAAAGTCACAGGACTGTTTTGTCAATAAACAGAGGCTAGACAAGCGCATCTGAATCTTAGATTGCCTCACAAATATATCTCAAAAATGTGTGATGTAGCCGTGATACTTACATCCCCCCATCGTCTGCAGGAGTTTCCTAGATGCAGCGGACTCCACAGCTGCAGTACAGGGACGGAACTCAGACTTTATAACGGAAATCGCAGTTCATAAGAGTAAAACGAAAAAGAAGATATAACGACCAACTTCCCAGATGAATATCTGGCATAGAATACGCAGCATGTAGTTCGAAAGAAGAAGTACTTAAATCTTGAAACAAACAATCTCCAATCTACACGGTATTGTCAAAGTGCTGTAGATAGGAGCTCCGAATCACTTACAGGCAGACACCTCGTAGGCGAGTGCACAGATGCATATCAGGGCCACTGCGGTCCAGTTCCTGGGACCCGTCATGATATTCAATCCGCTTCGGTGATGCAAATCGCCCTCGAGGTTCCGAAGAATCCCGGACAGAGCTGAGACTCAAGGTTGAACACGAAGAAAACTTGTTCGTTTGCAGACTTAAAATTCTCAATGCCATGAACAACTTCAGAGCTTCTGAGAGTTGAGTAGGGTCTGCCTGGGCAGATATACTCAAACTGCCTGTCTAATCTCGGAAGAAAGTCGCCTCGTCTTTTGAGGAACCTACCCAACGGCCATCGCTTTGTCCTTCGTGTCTCTCTGGCGACTACAGATGGGGTGGGACTGTCCTTGAGACAGGCCTAAAGTCCACGACTCTAGTCTGAGAGAATATGGAAATTCTGTGCTCAGGGGCTTGTACGCCGTCGATCTTTGAATCGAGCGGTTGATTCCTGCCAAGTCAAAAGTCCAAGCATTCATTTCTTAACCACCAACTTTGGTCTGCCTTACCACTTAAGCCAGCTCAAGAGCAGACATTACAACCTATTGATTGCGCTGACTGACGTTGATGGCGGAATCGGTGATAAACGGCTGAGATTCCCATAAGTCTGAGCAAGGAGCCCTCATGTCAGAACTTGCAATTATACGTGCATTGAAAGCTTGGCGCCGTGCGATCTCTTCTGTCCTGCCCGGCCGTGAACAAAATCGGGCAGCTGTGGATTTTTGGCACATTTGGGACTCTCGGGCAGGTGGGCCCTCACGGGCAACCTGTCGTCACAGTGCGTGATGATGATTCTCTTAAGGCGAAACTTGTAGTTTTACGTAGCGTTTGTGTGCACCAGTGCGAACTGGCGCAGACAAACGACAACGTCACACGGAAGCGAAGCAGGCTCAGGCAGCTGGGCGCTGTTGTGTCACAGCTGGAGCCGCTGGCCTCGCCACGCTGCAATGCTCTCGATCTTTTCTCCACCCTTCAATTCGTACAGGAACTTTCTTCGGCACTGCCCGTGAAATTGTCACTTTCACATATCTATTTCCGAAATGAATAGCATTCGAGCGGTGAAGCATTTTCTAGGTGAAAGATTTGCCGCCGATCAAGCCGCAGTCCCATCGAATAATTGTGCCATAAACATTCCCTCCAAAAGAAAACAAGGTTGATAGCATGAAACTGACATACCGGAGAAACTGTTGACTCAAGACTGACGACAAGTGAGCTCTTGGACTCTGGCCAGTTGACCACCGTCTTCGAGAAAGGTTCCAAATATATTCGGAAGATACAGACCACATCATTGTAAAGAAGAACAATAGAATAGATAATTATTTCAAAATGAAACCCATGTAGAGTCATTAAACTTCATGAGTTTTTAAAGCAGACCAACAAATATTGCTGTACCTAAAAGGAGCTGGTAGGTGCAGGCAGTTTAGAGTTTCTAGCCTTATTGAGAAGTCATGCAGCTCCAAAAGCGAACCCAGAAAAAACACTAGAGATAATAACACCAAAGGAACATAAACGGATGAGTTCCAAGTATTTGCCACTTTGTTTCGAAAAATCCTCGGCTGAAGTATGCCATATAATCACGCTCTTACCAGTAAACTCTCCGTATCCAGCGTCAATAATGCACAACCCTACATACGGCACCCTCTTCACTGCCATGGCGCCTCTCATGTGATATCATGCGAGCATTAAGACTTACAAGACACGCAGTTCCAGGTGTGACCAATTGTACAGCTTTGTGCTTGCATTAAAAATATATGTATAATTCTCCCTCACGAGAACGAGGTTTGCAAGAGGTTTATTTCAGATACAAGATTCTGAGGTTTTTCGCATAAATGGAAACATCTACTACACGAGAAAGATTGGTTCTACACAACCTCTAAGAATATACTTAACGAGTATTTTTGTGAATATCTTCTCTTTTTGCAACAAGTACTTTGACCTGATCACTCAAAAGTATCAACCACTTTCTCAAATTATAAAATATGAAATAATTTTTCATAAAAGTCTACTATTTGTCATCATTGTATATTTTCCTTCTGAATAGTGAAGGAGATACAGGTGATTGTTACAATAGTAATCATTTGCTGCAACTTCTAGGACATTCTTGTACTTTGTGTGATTCTTATTAAAGTTGAAAGTGCTATGAGCATTACCATCAGAATTTTTCACTTCAAGAAATGCTAGGTCTCCATTTGTGTATATTTCAAAAGCGAGAAGTGTGATTTGCTTTTAAAACTTAAATATTTCACTTTCCAGCATTTGTCAACGAGCTCTTGACCATAAATCACACGTTTCGATTCGGGGAAGCTTCAAGCTTTCTGATTATGTCGATAAGCTTCCGTACCTGAAACTCCGCAAAAATGACTAATCCCGAGTCTGACAGTCTTCAAATTGCGACAATTTTCAATGACAATGATATGAATGGACATTCAGATTCTTTAGGGTTTGATTGGGCTAAAGCTGAAAGCTGGAAGCAATCACTAGGAAATATAGCTTTGGCACTGACGTGAAAACAAATCTCACTGAAGAAGTCTCCTTACAGATCACATACTCGTAGAATCTCCAGAGTGGAGAGAAAAGACTTATTTATGCAGATCAAATGAACAATTCCAATATCAGGTTTGCAAGACGATGAAAGCTAATGATTTTCTTTGGTCATGAATGGAGAATATGTAATACAACTGTCCGGAGTCAGTTAATACAGCTCGTTCTTCCACACTTCTGACAACAGATGTCTATGCATTCATGCTGGCTTGATACAGATCACACCATTCAGCTTCCAGAAGCTCGTCCTCTGCTTTCTTTCTTGTTTAGCGAGCGTGTGAAGCAGGTGAGACATCTATGCAGTCAGAATTCTAGAGGTTCTAGGCGCAGTTGCGTCCGATTAATGAAACGGACCAAGTTTCAGATGCATGGAGACAGCACGAGTGAAAGTCACTTGATCGCAATCATTGTATCCACCACTTAAATGAAAGCATTTTACATCCAGAAGATACGAAAGTTCATTACAGTTAACATGTGAGCCAAGTTGAAAGCTAACATTTTCACAAGAAATTATACTTGCATTTTCTCACGGAACACATGCATTTGACTGCTTCAGCTTGCCATAATCACGCTGCTGCGGATGTAGTGTCGGCATATGCCGTCTCTACTGCAGGGCGACGGGCTACAAACCTCCCAAAACAAAACCCCTCTGACAAGTTTACAGTATATAATGTGTATTATACATTATATGTACAGTACTAATTCCAAGCTTAGTACTTCGTGTTGTATATGTTGTGTACGCCGACAGGCAGTTCAGAACCAAATTACTACTATCGAATACGTACAGATAAATATGGGTACGTAGGGCTTCCAAGTCCTTCATGTCGTTGACATCTACAACAGTACAGTACACGTAGTCAACGTTGAGAGGTCTTCCCTTACGCTTCAAAACGCAGATGCTCCTGGCAAGATCATTTCCTAACCTCCTCATATACTTTAAAACCTCTCAGTACAGAGCGCTAATTTGGCAGTAGGACGTTGCTCAAACCACACACACAAATTCGGAATATTTAACCAAAACTCTTAGTTATCCGAAGTTTTTTTTTTTTACAATAATCAATATCTGTGAATGCACCAAATAAGTTCAAAGTTCCAATATCAAACATAATAAATCTCAAAAATACTTAGTAAAAATATGTATGAATGTAGTATAACACTAAAATGTACTGTCCCGACATTATTGAGTTCAAGTAAATGTCACTACGAACCTATAACTTTGAGTGTAAAATTCAGAGATGCAATTACGAAATTTCTATGAATTTATTCATCAAAAATTTCATAAACTTGTATCACAAAACTTAACTTTCAAGTTTTTTTATATACGTATTAATATGAACATTTTTATGAGTAGTATTATGTAAAAATCATAATTTTTTGTTTTTTATTTATTCAGAAAAAAGTTGTAAATTATTTTTTATACATAATTTTGAAAAAAAATTGCATTTTTTTTTGCAAAAAAGCTAATGATACAACACAAATACTTAAAAAAAAATCATGCAAAAATTTGATAAATTTTAATTTAAAATTAGAAAATTATATGAAATTTTTAAATTGATTCTAAAAAAATAATCTATCAAACAAAATTAATACAAACTGAATTCTTAAATCTTGATAAATAAATTTTGAATTTCTTGTTTTAGAATATTTATTTCATATTGAATATCATATATACTTATAAAAAAACTCCTTAAATTTGAAACTTTTTTTAAACACATCACTTCAACCTGGTTTTAATAGTTCATTAAAAACACAAAATGTAGCAAGTAGAGCAATCATTGAGTTTGAAAACTTTGTGCATTGTATGCATGACATGTAACATGCAATCAAATTTGTACGAAGATGTGAACGTAAATGTGTTTAAATGATTTAAATAAAATATTGATAACTTTAAACTAACTGTTATAAAGATTTCATTGATAAATTGCACATTCTCAAATGAAAAAACTTGATCAAATTAGTAGATCTCTTGTAATGAAAATAGAGTTTTCATCTATTCAAGAAAAAAACTTTAAGTTGATCAATTGATGTTATGTATTCATCGCTCAAATAAACATTCTGGTCAAAATTCATGTGTATAGTAATTTCAAATTTTTTATACAACTTACTAACTTCGATGCTCAGATCATAATTAATCTACATGAAATTTATTTAACAATGAACTCTTAGCTTTAAGAACAAGACATACACATAGCTCTTCACAATCTATGAGCAATTCTGTATTACATATGTATATAAGCATCTTGCTAAATCATTAGTTTTTATACTTCTAATAGTCATGATAATGTGTGATATTAATATGATAAAGATGATATCAAAACATGAAACAAACTTAATGATGTGAAAGAATTGATACACATAAATTCATTTCAAGTAAAATAATATATTTTGAATATGGAAAAGTTGTATTGCAAGTCTTTACTTGCAATATCATTCATATCATAAATAATATATTAATTGTTAGTGAAAATATTACAAAAAATCAATTATTTCATTTTTTAAAAACATTTTTAATATTGATTAAAAAATAAATTTTTTTTATTAAATTAATAATTCATGACAAGAAGACTTGTATATATTAATGATAATCTATTACACAAATAAAAAATGCAAAATTATAAGTATAGCCAACATTTGATCAAATCTACAAGCTATTCACATAACACTTCAAATTT